GGCAGGCGGACTCTCAACCACTGCGCCACCAGGGAAGCCCTACATGTGGTTATTTCTTATCATAAATAGGTTTTGAGCTGTCAGGATGATCCTTTTCTTCACACATTTCCCAAACAAAAATTTTGCACAGAGCTATCTATACCCCCAAGAAGCATGAAAAATTCAGGTTTCCTGACAAGGAAGAAAACATGATAATTGATGACTAAGATAGGCTGCCCTTCTCTGGAGATTTTTAATTACTACCTTTCATTTACATAACACTTGAAGCTCTTCCAAGAGCTTTCAGGTACATTATCACATTTGTTCCTCAGCACAACCCTGAAAAGAGAAAGAGCAAATATTACAATCATCACTTTCAAGAATAAGCCACTAAGAATGAGAGAGGCAAAGTGATTTGACAAGGTCACACAGCTTGTTATGGATGGAGCTGGTGCTGGAACTCAGGACACCTAACACCACTGGCTAGAAAGATCCGGCGTGGCTTCTCTTAAAGACCTAAGGAGTGTGCAGCTGATGGCAAAGTTAGTGTAATAGTTTCTTTTATGAGCATTCGTTATCTTTCCATTGGACCCTTCAAAAAACTATGGTTTGAGACAAGGGGTGGGATTGTGGGCATCCATTCCAGCAAAGCCTGTTGGCTTTGGAGTCAACTCAATCACTTGCTAACTAAGCATCTATAAGTCTCATTTTCCTTAGCTATCAAATAAGCATGATAATAGTACCTATCTCATGGAGTTATTGTGAGGATTGGAAGAGATGGTGCAGGTAAGGCACTTAGCATCATGCCTGGTACATAGTAAGTGCTCAATAAATGATTGCTGCTATTTTAGGGTTGTTGTTGTTGTCACCATCATTGTCATTATTATCATTATAGATCATGAAGAGTGTAATTCTGAACTCTGGGGGTAAGACTCTCCAAATACTGCCAAGATGTCATATGGGGATTATATTGGCCTGTACTTTTCTGACCATGACTCAAATAATGAGGTGTGCAATTTCATAGACCGGGTGTGCTAATTAGAAGCTTAAAGATTTCTCTTGTCCATTGAGGCCACTAAATAATCTCCACATGGGTCAAGCTCTGTAACCACCCCCGTTGTCTCACTGATTGTACAAGTCGGCAGTTACAGCCATGATGGAAGATCTGTGGTGAAGCAGAACAAAAAGTGTCTAAAGACCCAAAATTGAACTTGTCTGTGGTCTGGTTTATTCTTTCATCACACCCAATACCCAAATTTATCTTTATAATAATTAGATAATAGGACATTTTCTTAACCAGCATCCTGCCCATTTTTAAATACATCTTTTATTAGATGGTACAGCTTATAAAATATTCATCAACACAAGCTACTGCAGTTTTTTTTTTTTCTGCTGACCTAACCTCAAAGCTGCTCAAGTGGAAATTAGATTTTTTTTGTTAACTTGCTGAAACTGTCTGCATTTGCTTGATTTCCTAAGGAGCAGGGAAAATGTAATTCCGTAGGATTAATAAGGGCAACGTACATTCTTATTCCAAAAAGACACACAAAAAGGGGGCAGAAATGCTTTTCAGTCAGTATAATTGATATTGTAGCACAGGGTTCTGCTTAAGTTCGTTGTATTTTGAATAGGTGCACAGCTTCTTTGAATCCCCATCAAGAACAGCTTGTGGGTCTCCTACGTCTTACCTTGAATTAGAGAAGAATTTTAGAGACCTTGTGAAATATACAATGAGATGCTTGTGATGTTAGTCAGCAAAAACAGACATCTGATTGCACTTCCAAAAAGAACAAGAAAGAAATTTTGTCATTTTACAGATTTTGCTCCTAACTTAAAAGTAGGAAAACCTAAGAATTATTTTTATCTGTTCTTTGCTCAGCTCACATATATATTCCCTATTCTTTCCATGCTCTCTTCTTCCTTCAGTACCTTGTGCTCCTTTATTTCTCTCTCTTAATTAAAACGTTGAAGGTTCCAGAAAGTTACTGGTTTGTTACTGAAAGTCTTGCTTGTTTTTCTGTGACGATTATAATGCCAGGACCTCAAAGCACCCTCTCCATAATCCCATGCCTTACCTCGGCATTTTGGCTTTGAGGTAACTTTGCCGCAGACTCTCAGAGACCCATTTGATGAGAATGTTCATCAAAACACTAAAAATAGACTAAAACACTCAACTTCATCCAGCAAATCTCGACTCCTCTACTGTAAAAAAGCAGCCCACCCCCTCCACGGCACTCCTCACACATGCTCAGTGTCTCAACCATGACATGAAGTGAAGTTTCCCTATTTTAATTAGGTTTAAATTTATCTCATTAGAAAAGAAGGAGGCACAGGGAAATCAGCTCGGTGCTTTGTGACCGCCTGGAGGGGTGGGAGGGAGGGAAACGCAAGAGGGAAGATATGGGAACATATGTATATGTATAACTGATTCAATTTGTTGTAAAGCAGAAACTAACACACTATTGTAAACCAATTATACTCCAATAAAGATGTATAAAAATAAAAACATCTTTAAAAATTTACAGCTGAGGCTGTGACCTTTTATAAGACTAGAAGTTTATGTGTGATTTTATTAAGATTAGTTTGAAAAAAGGTTGACCTCCCATAACTTACAATATATTATTGTACAAGTTTGCTATTTATATTTTCAAAAGGTATAATCAATTCAGTCCAGTTATGGGAATGGGACTACATATTGACATACCAAGCTAATAACAGGAAATTAAAATCAAATTATAGTCTTAAATACAGTGTAGGCAAGTTACAAACACTGTCCTCCAAATGAGGAACACAAACAAAGGCTGGGAAACTGTTCCCAGGCAGACTAGGAGGAAACAGTTTCTCTTCCTAAATTCAGTGCATGCATCCATTCTTGTCATGCAAGCAGTCTAGTGACTATGACCTGTCATTAAAAAAAAAAAAAAAAAAAAAAAAGAACACAAATTATTTGAGTAATTATTTGCTCAATTCTCCCAAGGATAGCACTTATGCAAGACCATTTTAGATGTCTAGGAGAGAAGTTAATTCATCATATACAACAGGTACCTTAGGGCAATAAGGCTTAAATCTTGCAAAAGGCTGCCCGAGAGAGACCCGAGGCCTTCTCATCCTACACCCGTCACCCTCTCTCCCGGCTGACCACATCCATTAAATGTGTCCCGAAGCTCTTCTCTGGCCTTTTATAAATGCTACCCTTTATCAAGGGAATCAATGAGCCATAGTCTGACCAATCTGGTATTCTCAGATAGACTGAAAAGTGATCATTCAATCCTTCTGAATCCACCCTTCTACAATTCAATAATGCGAACTATTTCCAAGCAAGTCTAACACCATCAGGATTGGCAGTAGAGAGGCTAAGAGAGGAGCCTGTAGATTCAGACCACACAGGTTCAGATCCCAACTGGTTCCTTGACTAGCTATGTGACTCTGATCATGTGTGCCTCAGTTTCCTCATCTGTAAGATGGGGATGATAATAATGCTACCTACCCCTACCGAATAACAGGGTTATTATGAGGTTTACATTAGATAAAGTTTCAAATGTTTTAAATAGTGTCTAGAAAATACTAAATATTCAAGAAATGTTAAATATTATTGTCAGTGAGCCTTCCCTCTGTGCATAAAGTATTTAGTAAATAACTGTAGAAAGACAATAAAGAAATTAATGACTTTTTAAAAGATGCTGAAATTATTCACATGCACACAAACCACATAGGCAAAGAGAATAACCTGTCTGCCCCAACTTCTTCCTAAGTTATAAAACCATAACAAAACAAAAACAGTAAAAGATGAACCAGAGCAAGGAGAGTACCCACAATGTGCTAATAATCATGTTAAGTACATTTCCAATATGCTGGCATTTAAGTCCACACCCATATCTTCTAGAGGTCTCAGATGGTGTCTGCCCTGATCCTCTCTGCAGGTAACAGGGATGGAGTCACAATCGTGACCCTTGCCAGGGTTACCCACTACTTCTGCCCAATATGTAAAGGGGGTTGCTAGTCGTGAGTGACAGACGCAGGGTGGATCCTGGGATCATCAGCAGAGTGGGTAAGACTGCCTTTAGTCATCCCAACTTCCCTTGAGGTGGAAGAAAAAAGTAAGGGTTTTAGAGTCCAAATCACCTTCCCTCCCCCAGAAGTGAAACAATCCACAGAGAACATGACATCTGCCTTATATTCAGGGAGGACATGTGTGGTCATGTGGAATAAGAAAAATAGCTCACACGTGTTGAGGGCTTACTTTGTACCAACGAAGTTCTTCACATGCTTTATCTCATTTAATCCACCCACCATCCCTATGTGGTCATGTCCCAGCCGCACGCTGGGGGCCACCCACCCGCTTCCCCACTCCCAGGTTTGGAAGCTCCCACGGTTGACTGAGAGATCACGGAGCCCTCACTGTCACACCATCTCTACCTCTGCCACAGACTAAGGAGTCCACCCCACAGTCCCCACTGACACAGAAGGACCGCCACACCTGCATACCCGCCAGGCTGTCCAGACCCATGGAATCTCTGCCATTCCCAGGGGCAGCCAAGAAAGAGCGAATGGGAAACACAGTGGGGAGGCTCAAAGGAGTTAACTCCTGCGGTAGATTCTGGCCAATGAGAGACAGGAGACAGGAAACAGCCTTCCCTCCCCCAAAGCTCCCCAAAAAGAACCAGATTCGAGTTCCCTGAGAGCTTCAGCGTGTCTCTAAATGCCTCATTCTCCTCAACCTTTCAAATACACTCCTTTCTTTTCTCCAGGGATGTGACGAAAAGCAAATGAAATGCCATAGGAAACAGCACTTGGAGAGATGGTCTATTCTGTGACACCGTAGTTCCAGCCAGCCTCCCTGGAGATGCCCCTCAAAACCAGGCCTGCTTCGCTGTGGGGCAGTGGCAGCTCTGGAAGGCGCCTCCTTGAATTTGCTCTCCCTCTCTTCCTTCTTTCCCTCTGTCTCTCACTCTTGCGTTCTAGGACAGCACCTCAACCAAGTAAGTGCTTGGCTAGCTCCCACACTTCATCCAGCACTTTGTTCAAATATGACCTCCTCCGAGACGTTTTCCCAGACCATCCATCCCCACCTCAAAGCTCTCTAGCCCTTCAACCTGCTCTGTATTTTTCATAGAATTTGGCATCATAGTTGACCCTTGAACAATGCGAGGGTCAGGGGCGCCGACCCTCCACACAGTCTAAAATCGGCACATAATTTATAGTCAACCCTCTGTACCTGTGGTTCCTCCGTATCCACGGTTCTACATCCAGGGATTCAACCAAGTGTGGATAGTGTAGCACTGCAGTATTAACTACTGGAAAAAATCCGTGCATAAGTGGACCCACACAGTTCTAACATGTGTTGTTCAAGGCTCAGCTGCATCTTGTATATTTATTTGTTTATATCTTACTGCCTGTCTCCCCACCAGACTGCAAATTCTATAAAGACAAGGACTTTGTTTTGTTCACTGTTGTACAACCAGATACTAGTACCATGCTGGTAGGTAGCAATTGCTCAATGCATGTTTGTTGAATGATTTTTTTTTTAAATTGAAGTACAGTCTTAAATGAGATCTATGGTTCTACACATCTTATTTTGAGAAATACACGGGATGGGGCAGGCAGGAGACAGGGGCATTGTCTAACATTGTATCAGACTCTTAGGAGTAGAAGTGGCACTACCCACAACTAACATCACAGACTAATTGCCCCAACACCAAATCAAAACCTTTTCCCAGGGCCACCTGACAACCTCCCTGACTCATGGTAGCTGCTAGCTCCCTTCCCTCTTCTCACTTCCTTCCCTCACAGTCTTTCCCAAGGCTACCTGATCCACGGCTGACCACAGGCTAACCACACAATGACAGTGGCTGGCAACTCCACAGCCAGGACTCAAGCCCACCAGAGAGTCCTTCCCCTCAGTGGTCCACTCAGGAAAATATGCTCCATTCCAGACTCCTACCTAAAGCCCGCATCTCCTTCTCTACAAGTAATGGGGATCATAAGATTGAAACTTACTCTGCATTCCCGACAGCTCTTGGTTAAAATCCGCTGGCCTTCTGCAAGGACTTTTCCTCCATAGATACATTTTGCTGTAATAAAACAGGAAAACAGTTCAGACAGTCATGCTATGCAACAAAATGACCTCAGGGGCACCATCCAACCCCAGCAGATTCCACAGAATATGAATGCTCCCATTCTAAGCAGTGCAAAGCTCTTTGCATGTCTGGAAGTCAGACATGGAAATAGGATGGGGACAACTGCTGAGTCCCCTCTCAGACTGCCATCTCTACTATGTTTGCCAAGAGTCCTTCACACCAAGCACATACAACTATTTCAATGCTGCGGTTGCTGAAGGAACTAGAGAATGAATTGATGTGGTCAATGTTAAAACAAGGAAGAGGTGGTTGTCACCACCGTGGAGTATAATAGCATAGCTTTGATTCAGCTACTCCAGCCATAAAACAAATGACTGGGTGAGAGCGGACTTGCATACATACTCCACTCATCAGGACCTCAGTCACATGCAGAAAGACACCATTTTTCCCCCTTGTGATCATAGGAAGTGCATGTCTTTAACTTAACTGTTCCCAAGAAGCTCAGAGACAACTAAGAAATACAAGTGAGTAAAATGCTGAATCAAAATGCACTAGACAGGGCTTCCCTGGTGGCGCAGTGGTTGAGAGTCCACCTGCCGATGCAGGGGACGCGGGCTCGTGCCCCGGTCCGGAAAGATCCCACATGCCGCGGAGCAGCTGGGCCCGTGAGCCGTGGCCACTGAGCCTGCGCTCCGCAATGGGAGAGGCCATAACAGTGAGAGGCCCATGTACCACAAAAAAAAAAAAAAAAAAAGTACTAGACAGACTGCCTTTGGAAAGGTAAGCTGAACAGGCTAACAGGGAGGGCAGGGAGGAGAGACAGGCCTTGGAAAAAGGTTAACAGAGAAGCATAAATGCTGACCCACTTTTAAGCAAGCGCAGAATATGTTAATTTGATATGACCCTAATGTATCTCTGCCAAATTCTCCAGCCACATCCACAGGAACAGGAAAGCAAAGGCCTGATCACTCCCTCTCCGCACAAATGAGGATGCTTTCAGCCCTAGTCCTCAGGAGAAGCAGAAGTGAAGACACGCACTCTAAGAGATCTCCACCACTAACTTACTGCCTTACAGAAAGCACCTCATCTCTCAGAACCTCCATTTCTCCATCTGTTAGAAACAGGTGAATTCAATCTGGTTGTTTCTTAGTTCTACAATCTTCAGACTCATGGAATGTTCAGGTATGTAGGGACCTCAGCAAACAACTCATCCAACTCCCTCTTGTTGACCACAGGAAGAGGAAAGCCCAGAGACACTGGTTTACTTAACATCACGATCCCACAGTGGCTACTATGGTGTGCAACCCAGATCCTCCTCCACGGCCAAAGGTCACATTCCTGAACCTGCCAGACAGGTGATGAGCAACAGCTCTCAGCTGAATAGTGATCCGGGACTTGCCCTTGTCCAAAGTCAAGGCCCCTTCCCAGCACAGCCCACATCCAATGAGTGGTTGATGAAGCTGTTGCAAAGTCCTGGCCCCTTGCCCCAACTCAGGATAACTCCAATGGTCATTCCAGCTCCACAACTCCTTGGAGAAATGGCTGAGGTATCTGTTGTAACTGCACTGCAGTTCAACCTCTCCTTCTGCCCAACCCAGCTTCCTTCACTATCTCATTCCCACCCCAGAACTGATCCTGAACTTCCTAATAAAGTACAAACAAATCTCCATTTCACAGTCTCTTTCTTCTCAGAACCTGCCCTGCAACAAACAACACATACCTAACTCAAATCTGTGCCTCTCTAGTATCTGCATTCAGTGAATGGCACCAGTATCCACCCCTAGCCTCCATACCCACCACCCATACCCCACTGCCTAGGGCCCTTCTATCCCCTTCCTCTTACTCAGCACCGTGTCCAATCAGTACCCAAATCCCTGCAAAGCTCCCTCCTTGTTTCTCAAGTCAACCCACTTTTCTCCATTCCCACCACCTGCCTCCAGGTGCTACCTTCACTCAGGCTATCCCTCCTCTTTAGTCTACCAGGAAACTTCCTAACTTGCCTCCCATGTTCTGGTCTGATCTTCCCCAGTCCTTCCCCATACAACAGTCGAATATATATTTTAAGCGCAAATAGGACGCTGTGCTTTAAAATCATTATGAGTCACTCATGCCCTCAGAATATAGTTCAAATTCCTGAAGTCAGCACACAAGGCCATCCCTGTGCGTTCACTCTCCCTCCCAAACTCCCAAACATTCACACCCCCACTTAAGACTCCAGCCACGCTCTGCTTCTGGGATTTGCATATACTGTTCTGCTTCTCCAGAACACTCAGCCTCATCTACCTGCTCCTGGTAACCTTCCATCCTATATACCCATCAGTTTCAACTTAGGCCCGACTTCCCCCCAAGAAGTTGTTCCTGACCTCTAACACTGGAGAATCGCCCTCACTCTGTGTTTGTGTGGTACTCTGGACCTCGCCCTAACAGAGAAAATATCACATTTTACCTCTGTTGCCCCAGTGAGGGTAGGAACTATGTCTATTCATAACTTTATCTCTAGCCCCAGGCTCAGTGCCTCCCTGGGCTTATTGTTAGTAACAATTTTAGAATTAATGAGCCTCCTTGGTAGCAAAACCCAGAGAAATGTGCTGATTCCCAGATGAGAGTTCTTTCTTCTATTCAATGCTATTCCAAACTTTAAAAGCAGACACCAAGGTTTTCAGAGCAAAACCATCAACAACAAGGTAGAGAACCAATAAAATTTTCTAGATAACCCCCTTCCTCACTTCATTTTAAAAAATTATCCCCGATCATCTTTTATGCCTCAGTTTTCCAGATAAATCAGTTGACTCTGACTCATGGGTCCTAATGATCACGTGGATTCCCCTATTTGCTTGCATGGGGAGACCATACCTCCAAGAGCCTGAAATTCCTGCCTAATAAACTCCCACACTCCCAAACACAGCTGCTGCTAACTTGGCAAGGTGGCTTGCTCCAGAGTGACAGTTCTGCTAAATACACGGCTGTCAAATCTGCCATCTGCTCCTTGGCCCAGGGTGGGAAGCAAAGAAATAGACTTTCCTTCCTTATTTTTGCACCTTGCCACCCCCAGGATGTTAGGATCACACTTGCTACCCTGTCTGAAGACATTCGCCCGATTCCTCTCATCCTCTGATAGACACTCATCCCAGAACTTCGATCTGGAGACAGGAGTGTCTTACTGTTTACATTCACACCACACACGGGGACACATCCATCCCTCAAATCTACCAATCTGGTATAAAAATTAAATGTCCACTGAACTTCATGTCTTCACATGGCAGGGTGCCTTAGGGGCTGCAAGTGACATCAACGTGATGCTGTGTACCTCAGCCATTCACAGCCTCGGCACTGATGCAGGATGCATGGGCGATTACAGTATCAGTATCTCCGGACAGCTTTCAGCATCACCACTGAAGGTCACAAGAATTTCCCCTGCTTCCTCATCCTCACCCCACTTCTCTGACGACGCCCTTCCTTCCCAGCCCCACCGTATGCCTAACACCAGTCCTCATTATCTAACCTCTTGATCTACAGCCAAAAGGCTTATTTTTGATATCTGGGAAATTCAAGCAGACGGTAAGTCAGGCTCCGATACCTGTGGCTGGGGCATTTGGGATGCCATTCCAACAGCTTTTAGTATGAGTAGAAATGTAAATGGATACCTGAAGCCCTTCACATCACACTGGGGACATGCAAACGAGACCATTTCACAGTGTCCGACGATGAAATTGAAACTCGGCACCAACACACACTTCTCCACCATGTCAGAAACAAAGGTACCGGGGATTTACAGAAACAGTTATGCAGTTGTATCTTTTTGCGCCCACAGACACCTGGCCCTTCAAATCCGAGCCTGATTTCTCTAGTGCGATGGATGGACACTTTTGCCATTTGGGTGCACACTAAATACACAACCTTTAGGCCCCACTTGGCACCCCTGTCAGATGTGGATGTGAGGTTGCTCTGCCTTTATTTAGGGATTTGCACACACTCCAGCCATCCCTTGGCACTCAGCAGCTGAGAACATCAAAATCAACACCCTGTGTTACACTTTAAAGGAGAGTGGCAGAGCAGAAAAGCTCAACACCCAAGGAGCTACCCTCCCTCGGTGAGCTCGTTCACAGACCTAGCTTCAGATACCACCTCTCTGAGCATGACGCCCACGTCAAACTGGTTGTCCCTCAGGTATCTCCAACTCTCCTATACCGAACAGAATGTATTGCTCCTGAAGCCATTTCTTCCACCTGCCTTATTTCTGTTAATCACACTATGAGTCTCCCACAGGCTCTTGTTCGAAACCTGGCAACTTCTCCCTTACAGATGCTCTGTCCCTGATTCATCTGTCTCACGTTAAAAAAAAAAAAAAAAAAAATGCTTACGGAGTACCTACCCTGCCCCAGGTCTTTTGGCCATCACTCAGCTTCATCCCTTCCTTTCCATGTCCCCCGGCTGTGCCTACCTGCCTGCCGGCCTCATCACCTCCACCTGCAAATGGGCCTGAATCCCACACCCAGCTCCCTGCCTCCAGCTCTCCCCACACAGGGGCTTTTATCAAAGCATTTCTCTGATTATGCCACAACCCTGCTTCAAAAGCTTGCTTCTGAGCCCCCCAAACAAACGCTGTGTTTACTTCCATGATTCTGCATGTGCAATTCCCTTTGGCAGGTGTGTTCTTACCTTCCTTGTCCACATGGCAAACTCCTATTCATCTGTCAGCACCCTACTCAGCTATTCCTTCCCCTATGAAGTCTTCCTAACACACACACCCCCAAGTTTCTGATGGAATTAATCACTCCCTTCTCTGTGCTACCCTTGCATCTTACATAGCATACACACTGCACAATACTCTTGTAATGAGATGGGGCATACATCTCCCTGGACAGCGGGGGTGGGGGAGAGGAGACAGGTTAAAAGCATTAATTGTGGAGCCAGACTACCTGGGTTTTATTTTGGCTCCACCAAGGCTGAGAGCCCTTGGACAAGTTAGTTCTCCTCTCTGTGCTTTACCTCCTCATCTATAAAATGGGGATCATAGTGGAGCCTATGACTCTAGGTTTTTGGAAGAATTAAATGAATTAATACACATAAAAAAGCTTAACGGTGTCTGACACAGAATGAATGATCCGCATGTGCCCGTTGCTGTAACCAGAGGACAGAACAGAGCTGGGAGGGAATTTCAGTAGGGATGACTGAACGAGTTCAGTGGAATACAGTCATCAACATCCATCCCCAACCCGCCTTTGCAGCGCAGTTCTACTTCTCACCTACAGAAACCCTGTTATCACCTAACAGACTATCTCCCTGTCCTTCTGCAACTTGTCTTCCTTTGCAAATGCTGTTTTGCATAGCTCAAGATTCCCTCTCCGTCCTTTTCCTTCTCTCCCATCTCTGATGGTCCCCAAATCTATCTACCAAAAGAATACTAATTCTAGGACACCACTGTCCAGAGATTCCGATTTAGCAGGTCAGAGAGGGGCCCTGGGACACTCTATTTTAAGAAATTCACCAGGGGATTCTAATGTGTAGCTAGGTATGTTCAATTCCTTAAACAGAGCAGACACCCAAGAAATGTTGGAGGAATGAGACTCCTGCACTACTTTCTGGACTTCCATGCCCATAGCTAAGGAATCTAGAAGGCTCTCCTGAGTTTTCCCTGATGCCTCCCAAAAAGATGGAGGAAGAGCCTAGTATCAGGAATTATGAAAACTGCCTTGCTCTTGGAGATGGCCTGATTTATTGGTTTTTTTGATCAAAATAAAGTACTTTTCTCAGATAATGAATTGAGACTTAAACACTTAGACCAGGTTATTTCCTATTGCCACATGGATGTCCTCATCTGTAAGTGCTACAGCTCCTTGAAGCCATGACGAGTGGATGAACACTTAGTAAACGAGCACACAAAACAATCGGCTTTCATGTATCGGCTCTTGAATCAAATCAATACTTTTTCTCAGAAACCCTAGGACGCTGCCCCACCCAAACCCAGAGAGTAGCTTGGGAAATCTTATCTGAAAGGGACAACCAAAGGAAATATTTTCCATCCTTTACCTGATGTGAAAATATCTGAAAACTTCTATATCTTTTCAAATTAGAGGGTTTTTTTTCTGCTTACTTTTATTTTTAAAAACATCTTTATTGGAGTATAATTGCTTTACATTGTTCTGTTAGTTGCTGCTGTATAACAAAGTGAATCAGCTTTACGTATACATATATCCCCATATCCCCTTCCCTCTTGCATCTCCCTCCCACCCTCCCTATCTCACCCTTCTAGTCTTTTCCATATATATGACCCGGAGTGGAATTGCTGGGTCATATGATAATTGAGTAGTGTTCTTAAGCATTTATTTGTATTACCATTTTATTAAACTATAAACATCTCAAACTACCGATCTGAGCTGCTGATAAAATTCATTCTACCTCGCTAAATTGCTATCAATTCCAAACAAAGGCAAAAAGCACACTGATGGTTTAGCTAGCTCATGTATCAGCATCTTGGTAAAATCGGGTAACTTGCTGAAATGTTTTTTAAAACTTAATATTCTCCAGTAAATTAGAATAAAGAAAAATGACTATCCCACACATTTCTAGTGAGAGGATAACTGGATGATATATATCAAGGACCTTGAAAATGTCAGTCTCTTGGCCCAATAATTCTACTTTGGAGAATTCTATCTTAAGAAAACATAAAATACAAAAATGTGTCCTCACAAGACATATTATTGAAGAGTAATTTACAATAGTGAAAAGTGGGAAAACAACCTAGTTCTCCAACAATTGGGGAACAATTAAATAAGTTACGCAACAGCGAAAGGGTGGAACACTATGAAGCTCATTAAAATGAGGTTTATACAGTTTTTTAAAGGATAGTAATACACTTAAGTGATAATGGTAAGTCAACAAAGTAGGTTAAAATTATCTGCATAAGACCTCAATTGTCCACAAAATGTAAGTTTTAAAAAACCAAATCCACTACAACTTCAAGAGTGTTTGTTTCCAAGTGGTGGCATTATGGGTGATTTTTCCATCTTTACCTTTACCCTTATGTGTTTTCAAATGTTCCATCGCTTTTACAAGTAGACTATCAAAAGCTTAACACAAAAAACAGCTGAAGAACTCACCTACTCCCATGTCCAAACAACAACTGCCAAGAGACAGCATTCACAGATCTATCCACAGAGCTCAAAGTAATAGATTAAAAGTACCTCATATTGTTTAAACAAATTCCTAAGTTTCTCAACTTCTTCCTCTATTATATTGAATATATCAAGATAGAAAAAAATAATCTATGGCTACTAAAAACTATCTTTCCATCATGGAATCAAACTATAATCTCAACATCTGGGCCCCTGATCTATCTGTATTGCCAGACATGACTTCCAAAAGCACTTAGAATAGAAATAAGAAAGCTTCTTTTAGATCAACTCTGCGTAAGCCCTCCAGAGTAATGGGTGTACCGTGCCAACCATAAATAGAAGACATTTTCCAAAGTTCCTTTTGAAAGAGTATAAAAAAAGATTGGGCTGGTACAAACAGACCAGCTATCCCCACTTCCACTGTCATATTAGGTGACATGCTATTCTTGACAAAAAACTAGACCACTGTGTTTTGAAGACCTAGTGACGATGGTGGTTTTTTTGGTAGAGAAATGGTCTTGAAAATTATCCATCGGATGGCACATTTTTAACCTAAACGCTCCTTTTTCAAAGAAGAGCATATGGTTTGATAAAAAGACTTTGGGCTTTGTAGTCAGACAGAATTCATTTTATATCTCACCTCTGTCACTCACCAGCCTTGCAAACTTGGTAAATTATCTTCCCCAAGCTTCCTATAAAACAGGGATAAAAATAATCCCCACCTAAAAGATTGCAGTGAGGTTTCAATAAGCTAATAGAATGAAATGACCTAAAATAGTAACTGGCACATACAATCATTCTAAATTACAGCTTTTACTCTTCCTGGTTGTCTCAGTGTTCATTTCACCATTTCATTTGAAAGAGTGTCCTTTGTAATTCAGAGGGAAAAGGATTTTTAAATCATTATATAATTTGGACCAGCCAACTCTGAAGGAAATTGTTCCAATATTTTAACTGAAGTTCAATCCAGAAATTCCTAACAAAGGCCCTTTAATAACAGGAAACCTGGCCAAGACCTCAGAGAGCCGAAACACAGAGTGTGGCCCTTGATCAATCAAAATGAGGGGACCAAAGCACATGGAGCCTTGGAGTCCTGACTATGGAGCAACTCCAAACACTACCAGTTGTTTGACCGCGGACAAGTGACTTAATACTTGTGAACCAGTTCCCTCTACATAAGAATGTAAAGAATAATAATTAAGGTTGATGTGAGGATTTAAAACAAAAAACAGCCTATGTAAAGTGTCTGCACGTCACAAGTGATTAAAATATAGCCACTCTTATCATACATTTATTATTATATCAACTGCTAGGACTTCCTTTCATCAATGTTAATCAATTGGGGCCAGAAAAATAGGGGAATAAATCAATCTCGAAGCACAGAGGGCCACCCTGACCCTCAGTTAGTACTCACGTCGGCAGACCTTACAGCACTGGCCTGCAATGTGCACAGGGAGGGAGTCTGGAGAGCAGTTGAGGGGGGGACAGGACATCCTTCGACATTCCACAGCGCCACTCTGAGGAAGGAACAACAGGGAAAGGAATCTCAGCAGCAAAAAGCTCACATCTCATCCCAGAAGCCTCACCAGGGAAACAGAAGCAGTGTGAGAAACCCCCAGTCCACTCCAGGACCCCAAATGAAGAACTTTCTCCAGCCCAAATGAACCCATGCCACCTCAGTTACTTTTCTAATATACATCACTGGCTTTATTCCCCCTGCCCATGTGGACTAAGTAGATTAGGCAGAAAACAGAAAAGCCTATTTTTTACAAGAACATAAATAACACCTTTTGCAGACCCCGTCAACCATTGTTGAAGCGCTAACAGTCATTTTGTATTTTTGCAGACAAACAATGGCATTCTTCAGATAGTTATCAAATAATTTCAACTGAACAGGGTTTCCATATTAATTTGGGGGAGCCTCTTATAATTCTCTGAAACAGATCAAATAGTACACACAAATAATGGATAACCTGAAAGAAAGTCAGGGGATCCTGCAACTCTCTAAAACAGAAAATGGATACCTCGTCAAATACGATGAAAACACCTAGAAACTAATTAAACCACCTTTTTAAAAGGTATTATAGCAGAGAAAAGTTGTGAATGAGCCATTAGGTGGTTTGAAAACCAAAGGAGTCCCTTCCCCCCTCTGCTACTCTAATCTCTAAACAGTAAGCTTCTTAATCATGTTAGATCATATTAGAGGGTGTTGGAAATTAAAATCTGCTTTCTCTTGATAAGAATTTGCATTTGTAATGACACTTTTCCAGCTTCCCTTCACAATTGCGCCAATTACTAAACAGGCACTTAGTAAAAAGGCAGTACTTCTTAGAGTCAGCATTATAAAGAAACAGGTTACACAATAATTTGTACAACTGTCCTCTTAAAACTGTCCATTTAGGTACAAAGAGGCTTACTTTGCATGTGCAGTTCCTGCAGTGATCACCATCAACCCAGGAGTCTTGGTCTCTATAGAGCAGTCCACTCACTTGACAGGTCTTCTCACAATGACAGTTTTCCAATTGACTAAGTCTTGTCTCTGCATAGTTCAGCTGCAAACAAGAGTTACTACGTGTAATTTCTGTAATTCAACAGCATTGTCCTAACAAAGCTAATTGCAACCAGAAAAAATAAATCCAAGCGGGAGGAGAAAAAAATGCTCAAAGCAGTTCAATGATTCTTAGCCAGATCTGTTTTTCGAAGATTTTTTTTTAATTTCACACAAGGTAGAAGCATTCTAAATTGAAGACATATTGGCTCCCGTGGTCTAATGAGCACCAAATGAGACATTAAACTGTATCTCAGGGACCTCATGGGTGTTCGTCAACGCGTGTGCTTTCAGCTCAAACTCACATAGAAACACTTGTAATGAATGTGTTCTCAAGGACTGTTACAATGTTTACAGGAGATCTAATCAGCAGCTCTGAAGCCCTTACATTTATCTCCTGCAATCCTATCCCTCTTCTTCACACACTAACCAGAGTGTCATGGTTTACAAGCTGGGAAGTCACTGCTTCCTCTTTTATGAAAAACTCTGGGAAGTCATAGGCAGATCTTATTTCTCCCCAGCTCAGGATCCTCCAAATAGAATGCCCCAGAATCCACTTTGGTGTTCAGACAAGTTCAAGAGAGGCAACCAAACCCCCAGGTGAGATGAGGACTTTGTAATAAAAAAAAAAAAAAGAAAAGAAAACCTTTTTCCTTTTTTTAGGTCACCCAACTGCTACCATTAAACATGCAATCTTAGAATCTCCGATTTGAAAGAGTTTATAAAGTTTAAATGACGTGACAAGTAACCCCTTCAAGTGGTCATCCAGCCCCTGTTTGCACATGTAACTGTGATGGGACACTCATTACCTTCCAAGGAAAGCTACTTTTCTTGGTTAGCTCTGGATATTTGAAACGTCTTTCTTAGCTTGAGCTGTGAAATTTCTCTCCCTTCTTCCTATTAGACCTAGTTTTGCCTTGTGGCCCATCCTGAGCAAATCTAACCGCTCTACAAACATTTGAGGTTATCCTGTCCTCATGCCTGCCCCTGACCACAGTCAGCCCCACCAGGTTCCCCTAATAGCTCCTCGTGATATGGTTCCAACCCTCCCTCTTGACCATTGTCCATGTAGGCGACTCCAGGTTGCCTTCAAAACTATGGTACAAAAAACCTTGAAATGTGGTATGATCTCTCTGTCATCACATCCATACCAAGGAGTAACTCGGCCTGGTAGCAATCTCACCCTTCTTCCTTTCTCCTTACATAGAGAAGGTCATGATAGAAGAACAAATACCACTTTCTAAAAATTCATCATACAGTTTCTTTTCCTTCTCAATCATACTTATATATCCCCGTCTTGAGTATTTTCCCCATACAGGAGATCAAATCAATTTTTGATCCCAACTAAGACTATTTCAAGGCAATATTTTAGTTATAATGGTTAAACCTAGCTAATGATGACTTCTACCATCTTTCTATATTTTCTATGGTTCCAGTCCATACATGCTCCTCTCAATTACTCATAACAGTGCTACTCTTTGGAAATGGAATCCACATGCAATTCAACCTTGGTTTTTGTCCTTTATTCCATCTCTTACTCTAAACTTTTGGAATTTCTCAAGAAAATTTGATCCTCGTCTGCCTGCCATGGGTAGTACCAAGAGGAAGGGAAAAGAACAAATAGAACCCTAAACAAACCACATGCACTATAATCAACCCTGAAAAAACTGAGTCGACCGTGCCTGAAAATTAGCTTCCTATGACTCTCTACTATACATGATCTTCCGAAAATGCAAGTTACATTTAAATCTCCAGCTTAATCATAGAGCATCCAGAATCGACGGTAATTACGTTCTCTGGGAATTCTTTAGGAAATGCAGATAACATATACTTCCGAGAGTTTGGTGACACCAAGTACCAAAACCGTGTATTGGTAAGAGATAAGAAAAAGGAAGTGATAACTCATCACATATTATCTTTACTTCATTTCTATAGCCTCAGTAGTTCCCACATAAGGTAGTGATAGACATATGACCGTGGAATGAACAAGGAAGAGTTGAACTAGGAGGGACTCTTTCCTAAAAGTGGCTCAGGATAAGGAATCTGTGAGGGGAAAGTGCCTGTCTTACTCTGAAAGTCTGGAAGAACCCTAGTGTCTGTATCACCCCAAGAAGGGGACTTATTAAGGACTAGTTCAAAAGGCTATTCTGTATCTATCCAAGTTTCCTGTAAATCCAGGAGCTTTGCCTAAAGGCAATATTGTCAATTTCCAGGACCGCCCAACAAAGCTGAGCTATGCTCACCTATAAAACTCAACTCCCAGGAAAAGCCTCGATTTTAATACAATGGAAGCTATTCTCAAGGCCGATTTTGCTTCCCTTCTGAGTACTGTCTGTAAATTTTTAATATATTTAGCCTGTTCTGACAACAGTAAAAAACCCTAATCTCTGTGATGATAAGAATGCATCAGACAGACACCAAGACAAAGGAATATTAAGGCAAAAAGCTAATTTTTCAAAGGCACTTAATATGTAATCTTGCCTTCCTTTTCCCCTGCTTAAATCCTGAAGCAACAATAAAGGAGAAAAACAACTCTGAATTAAAAATTGAATTACATTTTCTGTCACTGGCATTAGCATGCTGAATTTATACAAATTCATTTTCAAAAGCTATTTCTACACTACCTGCCATTTTCTCTAAGAATGCCTACAGATCCAAAATAGATATGGTATCAAATCTACATCTCTTTTCTGTTTTACCTTTGCGCACTTATCCAAGCAACCATGGACCGAATCATTTATTCTTAACTCTACACATTCAAAAGACAGACAGCAGAGGTCTTTTTCACAGTAAGAGGTCAATGAATGAATCTAAGTACATTAGTCATGCAGTAGATTTCTTTTTCTCCTTTGAAATATTATTTATTTGGCATTTGCTA